GTTTAGGAAGAACGAGAAATTCTGAATTTTGATCAACTATGAAAGATAGTTGAGTTGACTTTGCTCAATTTTTTGTTCTAATATTCTCTAATTAGATTTTGTTTTTTCAAGGAAAAAAATTAGGGCTAAAAAGGGAAGTTAAATTTGAATCTTTTTCTGTCTCCCGTCACTTCAGAATGTGAAAAACTCACTTTTCTTTTCCCTTTTGCTCTCAGCTATGAGACATAGCATGATTTTGTTCTGATTTATGTTGGTTATTGGCTTTTCAGGGCAACAATTTGAAGATTTGGTAGTAGGATTTCAAAAAGGCTGTGAAGATGAGTGACAATTTGATGGAGAAGGTCAGTGCTTTTGGTGAACTCCTCAAGACTGGAGGTGCCGAGGTGGGTCGAAAGATGAGCGCAGGCATGAGCTCAATGAGCTTCAAGGTGAAGGAGCTATTACAAGGTCCTAACCAAGAAGATAAACTTGTTGAGGATGCCACAGCTGAGACGCTTGATGAGCCTGATTGGGCCATGAATCTTGATATCTGTGATATGATCAATCATGAAAAAGTTAGTAGTGTTGAATTGATTCGTGGAATAAAGAAGAGGATCATGATAAAAAATGCTAGGGTACAGTATTTAGCTTTAATGTTGCTTGAAACATGTGCTAAGAATTGTGAGAAGGCCTTCTCAGAGGTGGCGGCTGAGAGGGTTCTTGATGAAATGGTAAAGTTGATTGATGATCCTCAGACTGTCGTCAATAATAGGAATAAAGCTCTATTGCTCATTGAAGCATGGGGAGAGTCAACCAGTGAACTGCGCTATTTACCTGTCTTTGAAGAAACATACAAGGTACTCCTTTTTGTTTCTTAGTGATTTCACTTTTTGAATCTTTGGTAAGAAAAGGAATGTTCTATCAATTGTCTTTTGGCTTGCTAGCAACAAAATATCATCCTGAGTTTAATGCTAATAGTTCTCAAGTCAAAGCTCCCCCCCCCTTCTATTACTTGGATTGATATATTGGATGTTGGTTTTATTTGACTGTCAGCCTTTTTATGGAGTATATCATAGAGAGCTGTCTGCTTGATGAAATATGATTCTTAGCCCTAACAATCTTGGTTGAAAGGGAGGGAGTCGTAAAATCAAAATAAGTTTGATTAAGTTGGCTCTTTAAATATGCCAAATCCACCGATAGAAGTTAAATGAACTGTTCCATATTTAATTTGACAGAGCATTTGTTTGCTTTGAATATTTGTGGAAATAAATTGTCTTGTGGATCACAGATGAAAATTATGCAGGTGCTTTGTTTTGCAGTGTTTCTATAGAAGATAAATTCACGTAGTCCTTTAGTTAGTGCAGATTTATGAATTCTTGAACCATTATTGTTTCTTGACTTGTTTGTTTTGTTCTAAAGAGTTTAAAATCAAGGGGTATCCGATTCCCTGGTCGTGACAATGAGAGTTTAGTGCCTATCTTCACCCCACCTCGTTCTGTGTCGGCTCCAGAAGTGGATGCTAGTCTTACACATCAGATTCAGCATGATATTCCTCTGCAAAGCTTTACAGCTGAACAGACAAAGGAAGCATTTGATGTGGCAAGAAACAGCATAGAGCTTCTTGCTACAGTGTTGTCCTCTTCACCTCAACAAGATGCATTACAGGTATTTCTAATCTCGCAAGTTCTCGATCTTCAATTAATTTGATGTGGATGTATTGATTTTGATTAGATAAAAAAATTTGGCTCTGTAATCCTACTTCAAATATGAGATGCCTGAACTTTTCCTGTTGTTTATGTGTATGACTTCTTTGTTCTTTTACTTTGACTTAACCTTGGCAAACTAACTAGCATTCCAAAGATATCAAACTGAGCTGTTTAACCATATTGGACCCGTTGAATTGTGAAAAATTAAGGCTGTTTTAGAGGGATTTTTTTAAAGGAGAATGGATAACAAGATTTTCACGTCCAAATATGACATGCTAGTCAA